ACCCCTAAAGTTAACATATTTTACAGAAAAAAGTCATTTTCTAATTTGTTCTGCTGTTTATAGACAAAGTGTATGACTTATACATAAAAACATTTTGCTCTAGAATGATGGAAGGGCAGGTGGGCATGAAATGTGCCCTTATGAATATCAAGTCAGTGGGTCATAGGTCAAGGTCACTGATTTTATTTATTTTATTATTATTTTTTTTTATTTATTTATTTGTATATTGTCATTAGTGAACATTCTTGATTTAACCAGTAAAATGATTGGACTTGGACTACTTGTACTTTGAACTGGCAGAATTTAGAAGCAATAAATTTCAGATTCAAATGCCTTGGATGGGGACTGACAATTAACTCTGGCCACTTGGAAGTTATCATCAACCTGGTATATAAAACAATTTCAGTTAATGTATTTGTTTTTGGTGCAATATTTGTCACATAACAGATCATATCTCAACTGATTTGGATATCATATTTATGAGAACAAACCAAGAACAAACCTTTTTAACTTTTAATTTAAAAAAAATTATATTGTCCACGACACTTTTTGGTGACCATTCATTAGCATAACTCTACTAAATTCTTCTAATTGCTTTATTATTGTTGTCTCAGATGCACAATTGTAAACAATATAAAACATTTTTACAGCAAAATTTACAGTGCAACATCAGTTGTGAACATTACAACCTATATTATAATGTTGTTATATAAGATAAATATTAATTCAAGCAGGATATGTTAAATACAACATAATAGTTAAATATATCCTAGTATAATAAAACATCTTTATGGTTTTATATTAAACATTACAGCTCACAACCAATATTTGGTCTTTTCCTACTTCAAATCTGCACTCTTCACCTGCAGAATCATGTGGAGTACCCAGCTTTTCGAACTTAGCATTGCCAACCTAAAAAATAACTGGAATTTTTTGTTGAAAGCTACTCTTCCTTGCTGAATATTTTGTGACCTTCCTCATCTAAATTTTCTCTAATCTTCTTGCTGGATCCTTCTTTCCTGTTTCTAGTCCTGTTTTAGTTTTAAACTTAACTTAAAATTATTTAACTTTATATAACTTCAGATAATCATTTTGAAGGTTTAGAGGACTTCAGAGCCCATCCATTTTGTAACTTGGAGAGGAGCTGTTCTCAATGGGGTTCTACTCCACCCCTCCTCAAAAACTGGTTGAGTACAGACAGATCAACATGTACAGCTGGCATGGAGGCCCAGGGTGACTCTAATTCTGAACGTAAGCTACTCAGGCTTTCACCACAACTGCTACTTGAAGATGTGAAGGTCTTTCCTTAGGGCTAATCAAAATAAAATATAGAAACTCTTAAATATCAAAGGGTTTCAATGAACTAAATGTCTTCTTCTCAAACAAATCCTATTATATTTAAAGACATCATATGTTCAAAAAGAGGGGGAAAAAGGTAAATGAAAAGAAATTGATGATTTTGTTGAAGACGAGGGGTGGCTCACCATACCTTGGCAAATAAAGGTGCCTTAGAGCTTGAATTGCATTCAATATCTGAAAGGGTATGTCTCCTATGAAATTGTTTCCAGGTGAAATGGACTAGGTTGTGGTTCATATACCAGTATTGGTACTTCAGGAGCCTGAAACAATAAAATAGTAATAGTACCTGGGAGTATTAAAAATAGAGTGTTTTCCACGAAATCGTGAGCATGCGCAGTTCGCGCCATTTTGTGCGGGACTGTTTCTCAGGGGGCAAGAGTAGAAGGGGCCTTAATGACGGCTGTCTCGATGTAAAGTAGATCTCCCGCTCTTTGCATTTATCGGTAATGGGTGGCCATGACAACTGCTGTGTGTATAACTGCAGCCACCGGAGAGGTAGAAAAGACAATGTTTGTAGTATTTTTTTTTTTTTTTGTATTTCCAAAGGACAGACGTTCGAAATTGCTATGGATTAGTGCTGCTGGTCGTGCGAACATTTCATTGAAAGATATAACTGACAACTTCAAAGTCTGTGGCTGTCACTTCCAATCCGGGAAGCCAAACAGGAAAGATAGGCCTATGTCTATTGATGCAGTCCAATCAGCTGATTTACCAAAGTCACGCAAAACGGCTAAACAGTAGGCCTATTTCAAGTGCAACATGGGTCGAAGCGGCGGAGAGTAGGACTAGAAAAATTAAATTGAAGAAGCTAATCACAGTAAATTTACTTTCTCTCATCATTTTATAATGTAAAACTGTGTACAAAAATATAATCACAAAGACATATTTGATTTGTTCACTGCTGAGCTGTTGCAAGTCCAAGTTTGCAAATAAATTACTGTACTAGTACCTGTAAATGCACTAGCATCGTGCCATCTTTCAATTAAAATTAATCTAAAAAAGCTGCACATTAACACCTGAGTAAAATAAAACCAACCTACATGGGAAATGTTAAAGCACCATCTTCTGAGATCAAGTTATAATTAAAAACATTACTATATCGCAATGTAATTAAATATCCATTGCACTGCTAAATACATAAAATATATACAAATTGCACTTGAATCCTGCATTAACTGATCAATAAAATAAAAATCTAGTCTAAAAAGATAAAAGTTCACTCCTGAGAACCATTTCCATTCTACTGTACTAATATTGCACATATTCTCAGTTTGGTATTAAATGCATGTAGAGAATAAAGCTTGAATTTTTGAATGAAAAAAAAATGAAAAAGAAAATGTTTAATAGTAGCGTACAACAACTCTGTCAAAATGAATGTCTTGTAAAAACTGGTCAGTTTAGGAACCACAGATGCCCAATGAACAGCATCAAACAGAATTAACAGATTCAATGAAGAGATCCTTCTCTGTGCACAAAACAAAATCATACTCATGAATGTTGTACACAGCCATTTGACCCTGGACTTGAGTGAAGTAGCTATGTTTACGATTCAAATATGGCCTATTGTTTTCATCTAGCTTTAAACATGACAGTTTTCTGGTGACACAGAGAGGTCCACTAAAGCTGTTGTGTAGATTTTATGCACATATCCATCTTGAAAATACCGATAAGCTTTCAGACTTTTGAATGTCCGCACAAATTTCTTATCGTATGTCCTATCCTTGATGTCTATGAGATACGCTTTCAGTTCTTTCTTGGAAAAGTCATCAGGTACGTCCGTTAAATTTCTATTCCAAGTATTCACATGAATGTGTTTTCGAAAAAATTCAGGTGTTATCATGTTACAAATCCTTGAAAATTCAGATCGAAACGAGCACTCGTCGATATGGCGTCTGTTGTGTACACTCCGCACTTGCCCCTTGAAACTTCAAATCCCGCAAAATCTCGTCTTCTCACGGAGAATTTAGCGGAAGTCACGTGACCGTGGAAAATACTGTATTGCATACATTAGCCTATCAAGAAGAAAATCTTGATTATTTTTTTTTATATATATGTATAACATTGAATAAGGATTACTTGCTCTTGTACAAAATCTGTCATATCCACCTCAGATTGGTCAGTAACTTTTTCATTTTCTGCTGCATCGCTATGATTTTGCCATGGGAAAGTTTGCAAACAAAGTTTTCCGCCATGTTGGATAATGACGTTGTGTTGGTCCTACAGCAGAATTTTAGTTTCACATGGATTTTAAAATATGTTAGATACATGTGTTAACCAGAAAGAAGATAATAATAGGTTTCATAAAATAACTGGCACAACTAACAGTGTTTTAAAGTGCATTCCCAGAGATTTATATCGATCCATCCAGATCGACCTAACTTCCTGGGGGTTCACGCTAAATTGTAGTCAGCCGAGTGCGCACGACAGTTAATTACCCCCTTACAGCTTTTAGTAAGCGAGACAGACGCTTAAGCCGGCTAAACTGACAGTAATCTAGTGAGACTCCCCACAGGGATAGATCGATCTAAAATCTGTGGGAATGGGGTCATAGGCAGTTTGTTGATTAGGCAGAGGCAGATTAACTTAAGTGCTACATGTTTATAATACTCCCATACAATATGAAAATTCTAGAAATTAGGGCATATTCTAACTGTTACAACAGACAAGTTGTAAAACAGCCTGAAGTTTTGATAACATATAAAAAAAGATGAATGAATAATCTGTTAGCATTGAGCACCCCCAAAAACCTGTGAAGATGAAGATATTGACAAAAATAGAAGGGGGGTGTTCAAGGCATGTGCTTCCTAGCCCCTAGAAAAACGTTCGGTTCATTGCCATGGCAACAATAGAAATCAATATGTTGTATCTCATTCTAATCCCCTATCTTTAGGTTATAATGTACCATCAAAATAAATCACTTGGTCACACTTGCATAAACTGTAAGGCATATCAAAATTGCCTTGTTTTTCAGCTGAAATTTTGGTTGATTAACTCCCCCCCCCAAAAAAAAAATGCCACTGGCCATATCTCTGTGAGTAGGGACCTGTTTAGGGATATATTGCAGCTTCAGAAATTTGTTCATATAGATGATAAAATACACCAAATATGATGTAATTCCATTGCCCCCACCTTGCCGCATTTTCTGTATTTGGGCTGGTTTTCTCATGGACACGCTGTCACACGCACTTAATAGTCAAGGAGGATATTGTATTTAATCAATGCAGCATCTGTCCTTGTCATGGCCATCCTATTTTTTTTTTAAAATGCAGTGTTACATTTCTGTAGAATCTATTATAATTATGAGATGGGCTGGTTTTCTTTTTGATATACATTGTCTTGCCACTGGGGCAGGAAGCATTCTGAGAAAAGTAAATTGTCAAGAAATCATTTTGTTATCAAATTGCTATTATTTTCATAACTTCAAGACTACAAGGTGAATGCAACTTTTTGAGAATTCCAAAAATTTCAACAATATGGCCTGAATTGTACCAAGAACATAAATTGAGCACCATTGATTGTACTAAGAATGTAGTGCTGCGAGAAAAATTATTGATTTTTTCCAATTTTTTCCTGACATTTGTTGTGTGCTGCTAGGATTAATTTTGATGCCAGCTAGGGTGTAAACTACTGCCTTTTTTCAGGACCAGGTACAGGTGTCATTCAGTGTGGGACCTCTGGCAGAGGGAGCTACTGACTGTGAGCAGTGTGGTGGTTCTTTAGAAACAAGAGCGGTGCACATGTTCAAGTACTGTCGGTAAGAAAAGTAGCTTTTCAACAGTATATTTTTGGGCCTTAAGGAGTTAATATGTCAATGTGTGCAGTGCTCTCCACGGGATAGGACATGTTTCAAATTATTTTGTTCATGCAGTTTTACAGGCTTTTCTTAGTGTGGCCATCAATAGGAAATTATTTGATGGTTTCTGCCCTGAAGTTTGATAAAGCCATTAATGTCTTAAGGTGTATATTGTTTCAAATTTCAGGTACCTAAGACCTCCAGAAATGTTGGTAATAGCTGGTGTTTAGCTTCATTCATCTTTCTAGATATCCACATTCCAGAACTAAGAGACTGAAGGTACATCATTTACAATTTGATATATTGCCTTAATTTTGTTATATGTAAACTTTAAGACTATATACATTTTCCCAGTTAGTCACCTTCTAAGGTAGCAGCCATGCTACAGAATTGTTGACTACAACATGGAGACAATTTATTGATGGCAACAAAATACCATAACACAATACTGATGTTCATATTTAATTAATTCAAACAAAAGAAGTGCATATCACACTTTTTGTGTTAATTTATATTTCTTTTCTTTTAGACAAAGACAACAAAAGACTTAAGACATATGACTTAGTTATTTTAAGATAAGGTACCTGTCACCTGAGGGAAGTAGAGATTAACTTTTTTTAATTTGGCAACAAAACCCCATTTACACTACTGTGCATAACTCATTTCTAACAAAATTAATATTTTGATACCAATTTATCTTTTTTCAATTTCAGACGATGAGAAGACCTACGTAAGACATGTACGTGCAGTAATGAAAGAAGTCAAAAAAATTTTGCATATTTTCCATGTGACCATAGATAACATAAAGTGGTGGCACTTCTTCCTACTGCTTCATTCCTGAGACATGGCTTACAGACAAGTAAAAGCAGGTAGAGAGAGTCTTGATCTCTTACATAGGCTACAGTTGTCTCCACAGTCCATGACACCAGACACTGTGATGGAATGGACTGAGCTTCATATATTTCAGGTGCAGTAATGTTAAGAAGATATTTGCAGCATATAACAGGTTATCTTGTTTACCACAGTCCATATCCAACCTGCCACACCTCACAGAGTTGGACCTTTGGAACAATGCCTTCACTACATTTCCCATAGCAGTGTGTGGCTTGACTAACCTACAGGTGCTGAGCCTGGGTAACAACCAGCTATCTGACATACCAGTGGATATCAACAAGTTGAAAGGGCTTAGATTATTCAGGCTCCATCACAATGCGTTCACTACATTTCCTATAGCACTGTGTGGTTTGACTAACCTAGAGGTGCTGGACCTGGGTGAGAACCAGCTATCTGACATACCAGTGGATATCACAAAGTTGACTAAACTTAATATTCTTACCCTGGCATACAATAACATCACCCACCTGCCACCTCCCATAAGGAATATGAAAAACTTGGAACAATTTGATGTGAGAGAGAATCCCCTTGTACAACCACCTATACATACTGCCAACAGGGGACTAGATGCCATCAAGAGGTATTTTGAAGCATTAACTGACACCAAGGCAATTCAGTCAAGTAGAATACAGGTCAACTTTCTTGGTGAAACAGAAGCAGGAAAAACTAGCGTTTCACGTACACTGCAACTTGGACAGTCGACCCTCACAGAGATGGCAGACAGGACAAGAGTGGTGGAGCAAGGAACATGGGAGGCTGACCAAGACATTGGCTTCAATATCAATGACTTTGGTGGACATGATGTCTATAAAATAGGTCATCCCATATTTATCTCCACTAGGGGCTTGGTTTTTATCACTTTCAACCTGTCTAAATATGATCCAGAAAAGGAGGGTCATTATCAACTGTACATTGGAAACTGGATTGACAAGGTGCATGCTCAGATGCCAGGGATACAAATAGCACTAATTGGAACTCACCTTGATAGGGTTACAACCCCACTTGCAGAAACAAAATGCTCTGCAATAATCAGACAGCTTGAAGACCATGCAAGTGAAAAGAAACAGTGGTATCAAGCACAAAAGGAGACATGTGAGAACAAAATGAAAGAAATACCTGAAGTCCAAGTGTCTCTCCGCCAGGCCTACCAAAGCAAAGCAGCTCATCTGCAGACCTTGTATGGTCAGATATAACCTATCTATGAGCATATTTTTAGAGTGAGTTCAAAAACCTGTGAAGGAGTTCAAGACCTGAGAGACTACCTCTTTTCTTTTGGCAGGACAAGCGCTGAAGTTTTGCCAGGAATGTGGGTGGAAGCAGCCAAGAATATCTGCACCAAGAAGATCGAAGGCTCTGAGAACACACTTGGTTGGGAGGTGATTGAAGACCTCATTCTGCAAAATGCACCTACATTATGGAAAGAGAAGAACTCAAAGGAAGAAAAAGAGAAAACAATTTGTGACATCTTAAGTTTCCTAGCTCACCGTGGAGACATAATATGGTTTGATAGAAGCCCTTCACTGTTGAAAGTTGTTTTCCACAAGCAAGAGGTTATTGTGAATGTTCTCAAGGCAGTCCTCACACATGATCAAGGTGAAGTATCAAAAAAGCTTCAAAAGTCCATGAAGATTACAAGAAGGAAAGCACACATAATAAAAGAAGACATCCTTAACAGAGGAATTGTTTCTAAACAAGCTATGAGCTGCCTATGTGAGCCTTTCAAATTGTCAAGCACTGAAGTTGATGTCATGACAGAAATGATGCTGAAACTGGAGCTGTGCTATCAAGTCCAGGAAGATGAATCCCTTCCATCCAGCATCTCATTCCACTTTCCATGGCTCCTCACTAGAGTAAGGCAACCTGAGCTAGACACCAAATGGCCCAGCAAGGCTCCCCCAGACACCACACAACTTACCCTACAGGTTCTCTTTCCATACAAATGTCCAGATGGCTTATATGAGAAATTTTCTGTCCGTCAGCATAAATACCTGGGGCTCATGAAGACCATGCGAATGGATTGGAAGGATGGAGTGTATGCAGAACTTAGAGAATGCAAAATGCAGCTGACACGAGAGCCACACCAGTCAAATCTTGATCCAGTCAGCCAAGATCCAGACTGGGTTATCAGCATTGCTGTTCGTGGATCACATCTCTCAGACATGTGGCATGTTCTTATGCGAGGTCATGGTGACCTCATGGACATCATTAAAGAGGACTGGCCTGGGCTGTCATATGACAAGTACCTAGTGTGTCCCCATTGTGTGAGTGAGGACAGTGACCACCAACCCCCCTCAGCTGCTGCCCAAAATGCAGAAGAAGTACCAACCAAAAGAAAAAGATACTGTCAGAAAACACCAACACTCTTCCCAGGAGAGATACTTGACCAAACAATTGAAACAGCTTCCAAACCAAGACAGGTGCCATGTGTTAATACTGGTGTCTTCATTCCTGCAGACCTGGTCTATCCACCTCACCTGGTCATGAGTTGGCAGGAAGGTAAGCACAGCAGTGCAATGGCATTTCCACAATGATTTGCTATGTCACTTTCCTTTAAATATCTGTTAGAAATTATACTTATTTTCTCAGTCAGATGGCAACTGGCTGAAAAACTTAATGTCATGGCAGTTATTTGAAACTTTTCAGTGAGTCAGTGTCACTAAGTAGCGCCGTTTCAGGACATCTGCGATGGCTGACGTGAAAAGCCGTACCTTGCAAATAAAATCCCTTTAAAAATAAACCAGGATGTTTGAAGTTGCGACTTTGTAAAGATAATAAGAAAATTTCATGCTCTTACTCCCGATTTCAAAGGGTTACTGAAACATGCACAAATTCAAATGAAATTTGTTCACGATTTTGAATCTTTGAAAAAAAAAATTGATCCCAAAATGACTCTCGTAGGGGGTGGGACTATATTGGGCAAACAAAAGTAGCAAGCGTGAATTTTTTTCCATTTTTAGATACGAGTTAAAATATCACCCAAAGTTTATGATTTTGAAGGGAATAATTTGCACATTCTCTAGTATTGTCACACGGTTGCCTAATCTAACATTCAACAAAAAAATCTTTTAAGAGATTTTAACTGACGGAGCTCTCTCTGACATTGCATAGTCACTGGTGACCTACTTAAAACCAAGGGAAAAGCAGACAACAAGAACACTATATAACAATAATATAAGATTCATGAGATATATTCGTCTTTTTGTTATCTGTGCCATTCTGGGCTTTTCGTTATCCGACGCACTGTACAAAAACTCACAACTAGACCTGCATCAACGTGTTTCGTGCCATGTTATTTTGGTCTCGAATGAACGCGAGAATCCACGTGACACCCTTACGTCATTAGCAAGGGATGCCTTGACGACCGGGAAGAAAGGCATCGAAAGCCCTATTGACAAGCACAGATTTTAGTTTTACTACAATAACAGCTGTTTTGGTGGTAAAATACAATAGAATATATTTCCATGCGTTGTTTACAATGTATTTCTTGCGGAATTTTGAATCTCAAAGGAAGAGTTATTATTGTTTTCAGTGATCCTTTCCCATTAAAAGTCAAATTTATGATAAGTGTCTGCTACAAATTAAACTCCCCTGCACCAAATGGATATGTGTCAAAGCTTTGTGCAGTGCTAAATTCTCAAGTTGTTTTGTTTGCTGAAATTTGAAAATGGACATAAACAACAGAGGTTGAGGTGCAGTACATAATGGTGAACAGAAAGAATACTCCAATGTTAAGTTGATTTTTCCTTCAAAATTGTGCAGACTGCTGTATGACGACAAATCTCGCGAAGAACTCTCATATCACTCATTGCCAGTGCAGCACTGCAGGTGCGATAATGATAAAATTGTCTTTGAATTAAAACATCTGAGAAGATAAAAGTGATTTTAATACATTGGTTTTTATTTATAATTATTGGGTATATAGTTTTGTTACTGAAATTAAAGATAAGCACTTTGATTTTCGGTATTTACCAAAGTCAACAGACCTTAACTTGTTTATGTAATGGAAAAAATGGCGTCAGAATATGGCTGACATCTAGCAGAATAGGGTCAAAAACGCACTTTAACAGCTGGTAAAAAAAGTTGCCAGAATAAATTTTGATGAAAATTGGTAGGCCTATTTTGGGTATAAAAAGCCATCTTCTACCAACTGGAATAAGGTGCACACTCTCTGTGACAGGAGATATCTCAAAATGTTATGGTGTTGCTATGGATAAAAATCGGCATGTTGGCCGACTTTGTTGACTTGTATCTCATTCATTTCGCCTTGATTCTGGGTAAATTGCACACTTACAGATGCATGATAAACTCTGCTACCACGTCTTAATTTTTCAGTAGGCACTCACACAGGTAATAAAGTATAATTCTTCAATTTCAGCAAAGGTTGCGAAATTTACAAATTTTTGACTTGGACGTCATCTCAGCGCACACGCTCCGTTCTGAATATTTTCCTACGCGCAGCCAGTTGCCATATGACTGTCTGGAATTTGCGTGTTTATGTATAAATGCTAGGAGCAATGTGAATTGCTATTTCTTTTTGGTATCTGTGAATGAAACAACTTTGGTGTCTAGTTTTAAGTATGCTGTACAGTAAATATTTAATTGTTTTTTTTACTTAGATTCATTGATAATGGGTATTCCATAATTCATCTCATATTACAGCCTTAATTGGCACTGATGACTGCCTGACACCTTATTCTGCTTAAACTGACAAAAGCATAATTTAAAAAAAAATCTGTTTAGCTTTTAACAGACATTTTTTGCACTTGTATTATTTCAGTTCTGCACAAGCAAAAATCAAGTCTAATTGAAAACATCACAGAATATTGTCTAAAAGACATGTTGAATGTTTTCCTCCAAGAAGGCATTATCACCCACCGTGAATATGAAGGGTTAAAACCTCAATACCAAACCTCAACTACCAGGGTGGTATGTCCAGAGAAAACTGCTGTCTTTCTTGACATTCTCAAAACTAGAGGAGATAGAGCATTTGACTTATTAAGGAAATGTCTCACTGAAAATGGGCAAAGTGAGCTTGTTACCCTTCTAAGATAGGCCAAAGAACTGACTATATGGACTGCATGAACTCACTAGTAGTCATATCATGTACCAGTAGTTTGTGTTCTAAAATATTCAGGAATTCTTCAATAAATAAATCTTGGTCATTTGGACAAATGAACTCCTATTAATTTATGGCAGCCACTTTACCTGTTGACACAGTAAGAGCCATGAGACAAGCATTGGGAAAGCTGGAGACCAGTTCGACCAGTTCCTAGAGTATCAGGGACATGTGTTACCCATGTTCCAGTTACACCCCCCCCCCCCCATTTTTTTTAAATTCCCATACAAAAGATAATTTAGATGTCTTAAATGCTTTTATTTTCATAAGACTGGGCAAGTTATTGTACAAGATGTCTATAGACAAAACATACTATACATTTTATCATTAATTACCCAAATTCACAACAAGACTGGGATTTTTATACATCATGTCATATATCATACTTGTATTCATAATGGGGACAACTTACATGTAGCAAGAGCATGTCTACAGTCTTCTTTTCATCACTTTTGTTACTGGTCCACGTGTCCACTTGGTATTTATTTAAAGTCACGGATACATGTACCACTTGACCAGTGCTCTCCCCACAGAATTTGTACAGCAACAAAATAAAAGAATTAATAAATAATATAAATAAACAAACTGACTTGTTGTTTTTCCATGCACATACAGCATTACCTAAAGAATGGAAAAATGAAGTTGAGGGGCCCATTCCCAGTGAAACTATCAGTCTATGTTGTTCAATCAACTTGTAAGGGACTGTTGCTAAATGCAATCAGTTGAACAGATCTCTTAACACATCTCTTGGCATTGAGTAGAATACAGAAAAGCTGCATGGTGGTGATTGCAAATACAGCATTTCCAAAAGTAAGAAGTTTAAGCCAAAAAAATGCTAACTGAAAAATAGAAAGGCACTTTTTAATAACCAATTCAGATGCTTAATTGTTATGCTGTTATAGCACATAATATATCCCTGTTGTGCGTGACATTATTCCACCCTATATATTACTACAGATAAATAAATACCAACGGACCCTTTGCAAAGGGATTGGACTATCAAGATGGAAATACTAAAATACATTTTTACATTCAAAGTTAGTCCCAGGTTTTTCTAAAAAGTTTTTTAACAGAGTATAGCCATCAATGGAGGTCACGTGGTCTTAAGACAAGCTCAGATATCAGAATAATAGCTATAACTGCCGTTTTTGTGCTAAAACAGAATATATTATATTTCTATGAGTTATTCACAATGTTTTTATTGTGAAATATAATCTCATACGAATAGTTATTATACCTTTAAGCAGTGAATTGATCCCATGCCTTTTTTCTTGATAAATATAATTGAATAGCTATATATTATATCTTTTAGTTTTTAATCTGATCGTGAAAAAATAGTTCTGTCCAGTTTTGTAGCCCCTGTTCCTTTGTGTTGTTGATCTATTGAATAACAAAGCCCACCGTCGTCACTTGTTTAATAAGAACGAACTGCATTCTTTCAAAACTTGTTATGGAATATCGTGTTTAATGATGCCACCTGAAATGAAGTGAACGCGTTCTTATACAATCTGTCTAGAGACGATAAGCATTGATGTTGAATGTAGAACTGCGACATATCAGCAGCTATTTGACAGAGATACCCAGCAAAAATATCTACAGTTAACTAGAGAGCTGTTACTGACTGTTATTTAATTCAGTAACAGCACCGAGCCCATAAAGAAAGCACCTGTAAGGCTGTGCGGTACGTCAGAACTGAAAGAGAACTTACTGCCACCAAGGAGTTATAACTCCTTGCTGCCACTGACATAAATAACAGTGAGTAGATACTACAGTCTAGTAATAGGTGAAACTGAAAGTACATGTACGTATTTGAATGTTATTTTTTAACATAAACAACGCTTTTAATAAGACCGATAGTTTATCATAAAATGGTTATAACATCACAAAATGAGTAAATATTAAGGCTATGAAAGCTTGCAGTAACTGAACGATTACAGAAACAAACGGATTAAAAAGGATAAAAGTCTGTAAATGGGAATTTATTGCCTCTTTAAAAGGATAGACTCTACAGGTACTTTTTAAAGGGAACTGTTGGAAAAAATGAATGGAGTTTTTATTAGTGAATCTTTTAAGTGTGTGATCAAGTAACATTTTAATTTCCTGTTCTTTTAGTTGTTGGTATTTTTTTTAGTTCTTTGCTAGTCTTTTTAGTTTTTCAATTTTTATTGTAAAGTCTTCTAAACAATTATTATTATTTGGACATGTCTTGCACGTGGATGCTCATTTTTAAGGTGACTGTATTGTAATGTAACAAGCATGGCAATTAGGGCCTACAAGAGTACAGGATTCAAACTTCTGCGCATGTGAAAAGTGTGCTGTAGGCCTACATGTGAAATAAACAAATTGGTGAAACTGGCAAAGCCTGCCGGTGATTACCGTCTGGTTGAATTTTTTTAATTTGCTTTCTGGTGTCATTTTGGGAAATTATATGGTATATGTTCTGTTGATTGTATATATTAAAAAGTAAACCCATCAGACTTTCCTTAGAATAACATTTACGTTGCCCTTATTGTCCGGGGATTCCCTTTGTATTCATTAGCGTTACATGTTGCCCCAAGAGAATTTGCCACCCCTCCCCCACTCTTGATAAAGGCCCCGTCACACTTATTCGGAATCAGCAGGAATCAAGCAGAACCAGCCGGAATGAAGAATTTTCAAAATTCGTACTACATTCGGGAAGAAATTTCAAATTGACCTAAATTCTTGTAAGAATTCCGTTGGAATATTCAGAATGCGCTTGAATCCGCCTGGAATGATTCGTGCACATTTGGGTTGCATTAGCTCTCAAATGCAGCTTGAATGTAGTTGGAAAACTAGGAATATCGATAATGCTGTCAGACTGCAGTCATAATATTTAGAATACACTTCGATTGCTGGCCGAAATAGGATTTCGGCAGCCATCGAGATGCATTCAAGTTGCATTCCCGCTCGTTCTAACAAGTTTTGAAGTGTCTTGCCATTTCGGTTCTCCCTCGAACGCGATCAGAATGTTTCGAATGCTGTCGTAATACCCTAAGAATATATAGAATGCACTCATAGTGCAGTTAGAATACACTTAGAATGCCATTCGATATTTCTCCACATACAGCTCAAATGAGAAAAACAGCGCTGTTGAATTATACTTTTTTTATTGAATTTATGCAATTTTTTTGTGAAATTTTCATTTTTGTCATTCTGCCATTTTTGTGCATTATTATTTTCTGCTTTTTGGTCGTACATTTGACAGCTTTGCTGCCTTGATTTGAAATGTACCTCGCTCCAAATTTCAGATTCCATACAAGAGCAAATCGCAAAGGCACAGTGCTACACCGGCGCCAACAACTGTATCATGCTGAAGAAAGTGACGAAGATCGCTACTGTTACTGAGACTGAGAGCAGGACTGCGAATTGCAGAGGGAAAAGCTTGTTCGCTTGTATAAGAAAACTGGAATTCTCATTAATAAACGGATCATATATTAACTTGAGAGTACGAACATTGTAGTGGATAAATCAAACGGATTCCGGTGAATCCAATCACATAAATGTGTTTATTTTTATTAAAATAGTCTCATAAAAAATATCGACAGACTTCTTAGCTTTTAAACCCTTTGATTTTTTATGTACAGACACAGATGTGTCTGTACATATAGCTGTCATCTGCGTCTGTCGTCACCGTCGTCGCCGTGCACTTTTACCGATAACACGATAAGTGGAAAACTGTTTTTTCTTTTTGTTTGAAACTTACAGAACTGATGAATATTCATAATACGCAGGTCGAGTTTGAAAATCAGAATGATCGGGTCACTTATAGGGAATTTATGCTGTTTTTTCACATTTTTCAGTATATATGCAACACTGATAACACGATATAAGAAAAACAGATTGGCCAATTGTCATTATACTCACAGGAGGGGCCAATCTTACTAAAACGCAGGTTGAGTTTGAAAATCAGCATAATCAGTCCATTATTTTAGAAGTTATGCTGTTTTTTCACATTTCCTCACATTCAATTCTTAGGCATGTTAACAGTCTCATTATTGAACTAATAAGATACGTAAAAGTGTTTGTTTGACATTTCCTGCATCTTTACAACATTGTTAGTTGATTTTGTAAAAATGATGGTAAACTTGTTATCATGTATTGTGTAATAAAGTGTCAAAAATGGAAATAAACTCATATCATTGCAGTTTGTCAGATGCATTCATCCACTATGTTCAGAATCTCAGAATGGAGGAAGTTGGACATTTAACACTGTTCTATTGATACTTTTCCCATCTCATCAATTTTCTTCATTGGTCATATAAAAATGGCAGTAAACTGTTTATTTTGTTTTATGTTAAAAAAGTGTTAAAAATGGAAATAAACCCATTTCAGAACAGTGCTGTCTTGTTTACATTTTGGCATTTTCAATATGTGACTTTGAAGTTCCATGGGCCTGAAGACTTTTGCTAGTCACATTTTCTGAATAACCATGATACTAATATTTTATAATTAAAAATTGATGGTCATTATGCTGTAAAACATTATGTAATATTGCATCAAAATTTGAAGAAACCCCTATTTTGGGCACTGCTCCCATGATGACCATTTAAGGAAAATCATGTCACTTACTGTTCTCAAACTTACAGGAAAGAAACATGGGACTAAAATACAGCTTCAGTAGGCAATGCAGTCTGTTTGGTAAATTTTTCTGGCAATTAAACAGTTTTTTGTGAAAATTTAATTTTTCACATATTGGCATTTCCAAGGTGTGACTTAGAACCTCCACGGGCTTGAAGACCCATGCTAGTCACATTTTGTGAAAATCCATGACACTTATATTTTATTATTAAAAATCGATGGTCATTATGCTGTTAAGCATTATGTAATGTTGCATCAAAATAGAAGAAAACACAATTTTTGGTGCTGCTGCCTTGATGACCATTATGGGAAAACCGTGTTACTTATGACTGTCAAACTTTCAAAAAAGAAACACAGGACTAAAATGCAGCCTGAGTTAGAAAAGCAGTCTAATTGGCTTCTTTTTCTGGAAGTTATACATTTTAGTGTAATATTCATTATCTTTTTGGCATATTCATTGTGGGACTCGGAGCTCCCATGGACATGAAGCCAAATGGTAATCATATTTTCTACATGTCCATCCTATTTATAGTCAATAAACAAAAATTGGTGATAATTATTCTCTAATTTATTATGTAATGTTACATCAAAATTGACAACAATCTTTTTGCACTGCTACTGCAAACATTATGAAAAGAAAACTGTGCTACTTATTATAATTTTAAACTTACAAGTACGATTTTTAGGATTGGCCTTCAGCTCATGAGAAAACCAGCTCTATTGGATTATCATGTTTATTGTATTTATGCATTTTTTGTGAAATTTTCATTTTTCTCATTCTGGCACTTTCTAAGTATAAACTTGAACTCTGATGGGCCTGAAGCCTTATGCTTTTACTTTCGTCTGTGTTACCTGTTGTGCATAAGTTGATGTTGACTGTGCAGTTAAACATAATGTATTATTGCATCAGGATTGGTAGTCTCCTATTTTGGGCATTATGGTTTTGTGCTTTTCTTAAGGTGTGACTTATGGGCCTGAAGACCTTTGAGTGGGTCAGTCTGTAAATTACCCTTGGGTATCACTAGATTAATTTCAGAGTTATAAAGTCATTTGCTTTAATAGGCCATTAAATGAGATTACGTAAAGCACACTTGTTGATATTTCCCTGTAAACTCCCAAAGGTAAAGCTCTCTGCTAGATTAATAATAAGGAAGCAGTGATAATTATGCAGGTAAATTTTGTTTAATATTGCAAATAAGTTTTAAATATATATATATATATATCTATCTATATATATATATATATATATATATCAAACTGGAAGATTAAAAGTTTGAATAGCATCTTCATTGGAATTATATTTACCTCAAGCTCTGCCAAGGAGGTTATATTTTCACCCCTGTTTGTCTGTCATCCACATAACACAAAAAGTTATGGACTGATTTTGCAGAAATTTTCAGGAACTGTCGGAAGTGGGCCAAAGAGGACAATGATTAATTTTTGGTGGTGGTCCGGATCAATAATCAATCAATTATCAATAATAATCAACAATTGCTGCCTTGGCAGAGGTCTGCACTCTCAAAGTGCTTTTCTAGTTTTGTTGTTTTCCTTTATAATTTTTTCTCAAACACTTGCATTTGTGACTTTTAGCCCCAGGCAGGCTCTCATCTGCCTGGGGCTCTGCACATTTTCTGTATTTCTACATAAGCAGTTGTATTGTTTTTTATGTCTTTAAACATTATGTAATATTATTTTATGCACTGTCATCATTTTTCAAATATTGAGACTTTCATAATGTGAATTTGAACTCTCATGGTCCTGAAACTGTAATCTTATTGAAGGGGTGGATTGAGACCATCTTCTGGGTCTTCCGGAAGACAGTCAGGTTATTAAGTTTATATTGACTGGTATCTATTTTTTTCTGTTGGAAGACCATCAAAATGGAGGATGGATCAACATAGATACTTTGTAATACTGTCAGAAAATATCTCTGGGTCCGCTCCTGTTATTGACCATGTTACCTGTTGTGCAAGATTAAAATTCAGTGTTGACTGACAGTGCTATTATAAGCATTATTTATTATTGCATCAAAATTGACAAAATGACCTTTTTTGCATCTTTATTTTCTGTTTTTTGTCTGTACATTTGACAGCTTTGCTGCCTTGTTTAATACAAAGATTTAAAGTGGCACCTGTATTCTCCTTATCCATCAACGCCTTGGCGCTGGAAATGAGCACCTTAAACCTAGGAGTTAAACTGGTTGAACAAAATCTGTCTCTGCTATTGATCGCAGATTATATTACCCTAATGTCACACTCAGAGGGAGAGTTACAAGGCATGTTAGACTTTCATCTGTTGTGCAAGCTTTCGAAAAAAGAAAATGTGATGATTATTATTTAATTGATACTTAATCTGTTATTACTATTGTTATACTGTTATTTTCTGTTTTATTATAAATTTTTGCCCTGCGGATCTTATTAACAAATTGTTCCACAATAGGGCCGGGTAGTCTAGGGGGCATAACCTTATCACCATAATAAAACAGTATTCTATTCTAGTTGTGTTTTCTCTTTGTATACAGTAATTTGAACAACGGATAGAATAAACCAGTTAGTATAAAAAACGTTTCATTTACATGTGCAAACCTTTCGGCTCCACAAATCTATAGTAAACAATATATAGTAGTTTCGGCTCCACAAATCTATAGTAAACGATATATAGTAGTTTCGGCTCCACAAATCTATAGTAAACGATATATAGTAATTGAGCAATATACGTAGGCCTATGAATGTTTAAACTGCATTGCGCTGGTAACGATAATGATAAAAACCCCATTTATTTGGAATTGAGATATGACCTAGGGATTCACAACGAGATGTAGGCCTAACTTTTTAGATTGGTTAAAAGTTGCATATTGTCTTCTCTAACACATTCGATTGGTTTTTATTGGGTTCATTCATTCTACCAGCAAAATCTGACTGCTCCCACTGGTCACTTGATATAATGTTTGATGGCTGATAAAACGTGATTGTTTTGCCGTTATGATTTTAGTTAACCCGAATTGATTTCCCAGGATCGGAATCCATAATAGTGCCCTATCACATAACAAAGACCAATGCCTAAATCGAGGCCTCTGTACGGAGAGTGGTCAACTATACATTATTATGTAAACCAGGTGAGCACGTCACTTTGCTGAGAGGTATTCAGATAAGACCAAGGTCAGTCGGAAAAGAAAGGAGCCAACAATTTTCACATGTAAGCCAAAATTCTGACACCGAAACTTCAGTAACCTGTTGTAAGTACCGTAGAGATAATATAAGATTACACTTCTAATTATGTGTGGACGACATTTTTACAAAACGGTACATTTTCTGTTGAGGTCGTATTGACCATGGGGCACTTGTAACTGACATGAAAGCCATTTTCTCCTAGATGTCCAAAATGAGCTTGAAGTAAAAAAGCTTATTTTCTGTTATTATTTTCTAAAGGGAACTCATTTGCCAATATAGAAGCAAGGAGATTATTCCAGTTGTCCACAAACATGTTATTCCATCCAAACAAAGCAAGACGACAAGGCAGGTGACTGTATACGTAGCTTTTTATTGGGTGCCCTTTGATTCCTAACCATAGCAATTTGTTTTTCAAAGAATCGGGTGCCTCCTGTTTCTATAGAGTAAACTAAAATAGAAATAATATCACTGTAAATTAAGTTCGTGGTTGCATAGAATGTGTTGGTTTAATATATTTATTCATATAATTTGGATTTTATAGATCGTCATGAACTCCGAAGTGAATTGGTGTAATAGTTATAGTCTTCTTTATAGAACCCTTAGATACTGTCTCGTGAATCTGAATTTTGTTTAATTTCATTTCATTTTCATTTAATTCCAGTGACTCTTTAACTGCCGTTTATGAGATTGGATTCGCCCCCAACAAAGATATCAACCTCGTGTTCGACATCACCCGCACCCATGTCAAGATTAAAATTGTCTCGCTTGCTGAAGTTTGTCTTATAGTTAATTTGCAGGGTTGACATTTGATTTGGTTTAAATGTAATGTTTGCATTGGGTTGTAATATTCTACATCAAAACGTGTATCAAATGAAGTACAGCGTGTAACGAGTGTTTTATTCATGGAACTTCTGGTAAAAATGGACTAAATCCAAGCGTCAACCCTGCACGTCACTAGTTTATTACTTGAGATATGTTACTAAGTTGTAGCACACCTCTCTACTCACATCCGATGATTTTATTGTAATTTGTTTATATTTTTGTTTATACCTAAACGAACCTGAAACGACACTTTTGGGGTGTTCTTCAAACAGAAATGACGTCGTTGAAATCTTTTTCTTGCTGAAAAGATGCATAAAAACGAAAAATTGTAAAAAATATTGTAGAATTATCACTTTAGGTGATGGCCAGGTAGAACACTATGATGGCACGACTGGTTTTCTGTTTGACTGTAAAATATGTGTGGACAAATATGTAATAAGACAATTTGTTGTGCACTGGTAAATGCATGTTTATTCATATCAAATTGGATACAAATATTTATTTTGATGAAGTTAACTTTTGAAAAGGAAAAAACTCCATTACGTGAAATGCATACAGGAATCTTTTATTGTGGTTTCATTTAAAGAAGTGAGCAAGATGTAAATATTCAATAAACTGTTAACGCTGTAATAAAAATTATTACACTTAAAAAAAACAACAGCAGTATGAAATTGTAAAATTTGCTCAAGTAATTGCAGAAATGTCCACACGTATTGAAACGGATTTTTATAAAATTGTGAATATGCTGTTATGACGCATGCTAAGAATGAATGGTTTCCGGTGTTTTGATATAGTTTGTCTGATCAGTAATACATGCGTAGTTTTATTGCTGGGATGGGGTAGAAATGTTTGTTTTCATAAAATCAAACGAGGGGTTGGGGCAGTTTTTTTGAAATCATTACAGAAGGAAAACTGACCTTTCGCCTGCAAAACAAAGAGGAAATGTTTAATGTTCACAAAGAAAAAAATGGATTGTAGAAACATTTTCCTTTTGGCATCTTTTGTCAATAAAAATGTAGGGCCTTACATGTAGGATTGGCATTTATCGCATCCTTATGCAACTCAAAATTTTGAGAAATTCTCATCAAATTCGTATCGACAACTAGTTGTCGCGTGTTTCTTTTTATGTTGTTCTTGTACCTGGTACTTTCTTAATTCTATTTTTCGGTCGGTATCAAGGGGTGATTGCGAAGATTATGGAAGATTAGATGCCAGTCCTGCACGTTCTGTTGGATTATTTTTGCTGAATGTTTCTTGATCACTGAACACCGTTGATGTTTATTAGCATTTTCTGAGTAAATGTGCTTAGTTACTTTAGGTAAACTATTTTTTTCCATAACCTTTTCAATTTTATTTAGATATTATTATAATTTTTTAAAAAATCACTATGCCTGGGATAAAGTTGTAAACTTACTTTGTCTTCATGCTGTTCTTGATTTGCACGACGCGTAAATTTAAGTGTTCACTCAAAATTGTGCCACCTAAATCCTATTTTAAGATTTAAAGAGGGCAAAAATGATGAAAAATATGAGGTTCATATTCATTTATCTATGAGAAATGCATTCATCAAATTACAGAACTGAATAACATTTGACTGCTGTTTTGTGTTGTGCAATCATCAGCATGGCGACATAGAGTAAGGTGTGGTGTCGTGAGTGTGTACCCGCGTGGAAGGGATAACGTTTACAGGCAATTTCAAAGGGGGGAGAGGAGTCTTTTTCTGAAAAATGGACCTTTTACCATTAAATCCTCATGTACCTGGATTAAATTTTACCCAGCAAAAAGGGTGGTTCTTTTGATCCCCACGAACCCCCCCCCTCGGCTACGGGCCTGGCTTACATGAGATCCTATGCATTTTGGATGTCGTTACTATTATCTTGAATTTGGAGAAATATGTCCCTCGGTGAAATTTTCGATCAGTCATAAGACGAATACACCAATTTCAACTTTGAATGGTAGTTGTAAAATATATCACGTCCAATCTTCAACAAAAATTATTTATCTTGAGCGACAATTTTCAAAATGCCGACACATTTAGTTGTAGATAGTTGTATTTAAGCTTGATTTACACCTCGAAATGCGAAGTCGTTATGAAAATTGCTTTTTATGTAGAGCCAAAACGTAATGTTTAGGTTTTTGCATACATCTGTGTGGTGCAATCGCTTGTATTTGTTATAAGAAGCGTACATAAAAGTTGTAATAGATGTAGTTTCAAAATGTAAAAAATTTCATATGTTCATTCCTGACTTTCTTTTCTTCATCTCGACTCGAACCTTTGGTTATCCACTCAGCCAGTCGTCATTTTCTCTTTTGTGATCTGTCGCCTTACCTATTGAGCCACTCCCTCAACTTGCTTTTCGTCATTCTCACGATCCTCTTGTAGTTGTTCAAATTGTTTGTTTGGGTTTATTTTTGCAAAAGGTTATTTGCTGGGACCTAGAAGCGCCAGGAATCGAACTGGGGACCTTCTGTCTCAGAGGCAAGCGCGTTACCTACTTCTCTAAGTGTTCCCACCCACCCTCCCCGGGTAGACTTTCTTCTTATAGTAACCAAAGGAAAATTTTAATAGCAACCCTTTGTAATTCCAAAGTGCCCGAGCCAGGAATCGAACCCCAAACCCAGGCTACCACTAAGCCATGTGGTCGTCAGTAAAAACACTAACACATTTTGTATATTCAATAAGTGTTTTATTAAGAGCAAAACAAATTGCTATTTATTCGATTATTTATAAGACACGTATCTTTAAAACATCATTGTCTTAAGTTTTTATTATTACTGCAAGTTTAAAAGGGTTGGAGTATCTGAAAGAATATGATTGATGTCTGCATTTAAACTCACTTACAGGTGTAACAAACCTAACATTTTTATCTATGCGATTTGACAAATAAACTATCTACCGCACGAATTGTCTTATGTTTTATTTAAATGACACAAACAAAATATTTCAACTGAAAAAAACATTGGTGGATCTAGTCTCCCCCTCCCCCTCCCCCGAGGAGAGCGACCCTTTCTGGACTCACGTGATCAAGTCCTCCAAATACTCCATCTCGCCCCAAAGGTCAACATATGACCCCATCCAAATATCCTTGATCCACCAGTGTTATTCTCTATTTATTAAAATTGAACGCTTTTTTTATGTCTGACGCGTATCGTTGAGAAGAAAAAAATGAACACACTTTCGTTATGTTTGGCAAAAAACGTGTCCAAAATTAAAAGAATAATCAACAATAGATTATAAAGGGAAAAAATATCCCTTATATAGAAAACTATATAGAAAACAAACTACATGTTCATATATGAAATCTGGATTAAAATCCAAGGAAGAGATCTCGATGTTTCTTACATTTCCTATTTTTCATTTTCATTGTAAGAACTACATTCAGAGATAAATACTAAAACAAGAAAGAAGTTTCTTTTCCATTCTGTGAATGGTATTTACATGCATCAAATCAGCTTTTTAAGGAGGGAATTTTCGCAATTGGAAATCGAAATTTGTAAATTCTACATACTACACTAGTAAAACAAAATAATCGGAATTGATTCGTAAAATTACATCTCTAACTCAACAAGACAGCAAATACTCTAATTTTAAGAGACGATATGCCTTTTTTTCTCATCTGAACATTAAAAGAAAGACACGCAATGAGCGTCAGTCCAGATTTCAGTCCAATTGAAGAATGAGACTGAAGAATATAGTCACGTCGGTAAAAAACAGAAATTAAGAATTCGACACTGTAGAACTTATCAATGTTTTTGATAATGTGTCCTTTGGTGATTTAGGTGAAATTGCTTATTTATACCACAGAAAAATATTTGGCTTTAAACCGACATAAAATCGGATTTTTTGCGCACTTAATTCGCAATCTAAACTAGAAAGTCGCGACTTGCTGTCTTGCTGAAGAATACAGCCAATAGTACTATTTCACAAATGTCACGGCGACAAACATATAACTACGATAGTATAGAACATATTTCAATGCATAGGGGCGGATTATCGAAATAAAGCAAATAATTTTGTAATTAATGACCATGCATTCTGATATATGACCATGTTTAGATATATTACATTTAATTCTCAAGAGATCTCAAATTCGAGTTGTTATATGATATAAAACACGCAAAAGACACCTTTAGACAGAGCCTTTTCAAATCTGTTCCAAACAGATTTCGGGCTATCATTTCTCCCCTATGTCTTGAAGGGTTCATCTTATAATCAATACAACTTCAATTTAGCTCATACATTTAAATGAAATGAAATATTAAATCTTGATTTATGAAATCTTGCCAATATTCAAAATGGAAATATATTACTATACCTCCTTAATAATTGAATTATGTCCTTTACTTCGGAAATGGACATTTGTTGCTCTACCTATATAATATTCTTTAATTCAACTAATAACTGCTCACTAAACATCAACATGTCAATAGCCTTATTCTCACAAGTCATTTCACAGCATTTTCCCCTCCTTGGCCATTTCTCACGGTAAACCTCGACTGCCACTACTATTTCTACCGATGAAGTCCAAAATATTGAACATGAAGGGCAACTGCATTTTTCTGTTTCATGAGACGCGATGAGATGAAGTGAAGGAGAAAATAATGGTGCCGTACGTGGGGAAAATGTTGGGAAATGGTCAACACCACTTTTAAGCAAATGGGCGCCAAAATACGTCTCAAAAATAGATCACAATTTACTTATCGCCAAATATCTAACATTGATTTCTTAAAACTTTGCGTTGATGTGACTGAAATTACGATATTCTCATACTTAATATCTAGGCCGCCTTCGCTCCACTTCCTGATCACTCAGCACCGAGGAAGTGACGTCTCCTTCCAGGCTGTCTATCCCATTACCTTCATGGTAGGGGGAGGTGGCAGGCTGAAGTTGCCGTCTTTCCTTTTCAACTCTCACCAGTATTTTACGGATGGAACTTCATTTGTACTTTACAACATTAAAAATACATTGGACGAGTTTGTGTTCAGTATATTTCAAATGATGCTAGACGAAAATTATCCTTATCCTTATCCTTATCCACCTAAATTGAAACGACATTATGTAGGTCACTGGCTATCTTCATATGACTGAATATGGTTCAATGATTTTAATATCTGAGCAGTTTTTGTTGTTTGACACACTAGACCTCACGATAGCGCCATCTGGAGGTAAATAGAAATGCTGCAATCGGTATTTTCTTAGAGATTTATGATTTTATGGACATAAAATAACAAGCGAATTATTTGTTGATATACGATGCTTTAATCTTTTATCTGTGTAATAAAATATATTTTGATGCATGCAGTTTTCTCATCTTTGTTAATATTATTCATAAATGCATGTGTTTGTGTGTGTGTGCGCGCGCGCTCGCACGCACGTTCTCTATTGTTAGAAAATGCACCAATCGAATGGCGATTTGGTACCATACGATTGATGATTTATTATAAATAAAGTGATAGACAAATATGAGAAAAACAGTAAAGTTATAGGCTATCTTCAAACTATAAGAGCTGTTCACGTACAGCTGTCACTCTTATTGAAGCTCAAAACCACATCAAGCTTGAAGCCAGCGTTTGACAAAACAACATTTTCCAATATCTCTAATATGAAATACGCATAATGATATTAAAGCAATAAAAATAATAAAATCATTAGACTACTGCATCTCTGCACCCTATGGCTGTACCGAAGAAAGAATGAAAAACTGCAGTGAATAAAAAAAAATCATCGCGTCTTTTAACTCAGGGAGACTCATATCACACCTATTTTAAAACAGTTGCACTGGCTCCCTGATAGAGTACGCATTTTATTAAAAAAATTAACTTTTGAGCACGCAGTTTTTTTTTAATTAACACTCAGATTAACACTCAGATAATAACTAAAGCTGTTGAAGAGAGCCACGGTCCTCAGAAGTATAAATTTGAGCGGGAAAATTCAAAGAAACTCTTTATATGCGTATTTTAAAATATGTATATTATCACTAGCTGGTGAAACACACTACATGTAGTGCGGTCTATTTTATCACAGGTGGGGTGAAAATAACTTAGCTTAAGCTTTGTTCATTGGAGAAAAATGATGAACTTCTGAGAGCTGTTTAAAAAAAGAGATTAAAATCCATTTTTCAGCTCACTTTATCTACACCTGAATGAAATTGACAGTTATATAAACACACGTCAATCATTACACTGATAAGTTAATATAGGTGTAACACAGTGAATACATCAAAAGACAACGCGATATCTCCAGAGGTATTGATGAATGGAAAATATTTTTTTCTTTTTTAATTTACACATGTTAATTCGCCGCCAGGTTTAATTCGACTGCTGGGATTATGTGTTGGGAGGTTGCAGTTGCAATTGCCAATACTTCCATGTACCAGTTAATAACCAGTTATTATGCACGAATGCTAACAATTTAGTATACCTCGCCAATACCCTCCAGTTATTTCAACCGTTCAGTGCTCTTCCATACACACGTCTTCAACACATATCATATATCACATGATTATTCGACATACAACACTCAAATGACATTATAAAATTTATAATACATACATTATAAAAGAAACGAAATTTAAAGCGATTGTATTTTATTTCCCCGGGAAATGATATTTTAGCATAGGGGGCTCGGTCCATACGTAAAAACAACTTTTCATATACGCGGTAATATTCCTGGTGTCTGTCCTGTCTCAATATGGTTGTGACGTCTACCACAGAATTAACGGTAATGTGCTAGATGTGACAAGCCGTTGACCGCTGTAAATATGTACGTAGAGTAGGCCGTAAAATCAACTTTTTTTCA